AGACCTGTGCCTCTCCCTACTGGTTAGGCTATCTCTCAGTTCTCACCACCTAAATAAAACTCATCAACTCCCAGTCCACAATTGGACTTGGGCTATAATTTTTGAGACATCATCAGTAGTCAACCCCCCACCCCCTCCCTCCTTCCCTCCCTACCCCAAAAAAAAGAAGGGAAAAAGCTATTTGTTTTGAGGTAATAAGTCCTAATTTCTTTATGATTCATCTTTCAATTTGATTGTAGTTATTCAAACCTAATGTCACCAGTATCTGCCAAAAAAAAAAATGATTGTGTCACTATAAGGAATCATCATCCTGGCAGCTATGAGACATTGTGAAATCATAGAATCTAAAATCACTTGCAAGGCTCTTCGGTGGACTTCAGAACAAATCGCTTAAAATATAATTGGTTCTCTTCTCACCGGACACACTAGGGATTTTTTCCCATTACCTAATATATAGGTACTAGTTATTACATGTGCTTAAAGGTATGGAATAATAAAAAAAAATTTAATAATAAATATATTTGTATTTACATCCAAAATTAAATTTCAATCATAGGTGAGAAATAAATAAATTTAAGTATCGACTGTAGTGGAGGTAAGCGGTGATAGTGGTAGTGGTAATGGGGGGTAGTGGTGGTGATGGTGGGAGATGGTGATGATTATAATGGGTGACGATGATTGTGGTGGTGGTGACAACGGTGATAGTGGTGGTGATGGTAGGTAAGGGTGGTGGTGGACAATGGTTATGATGGTTGGCAGTGATGGTGGTGGGACGACAACAGTGGTGGTGGTGGTGGTGAACGACGACAGGTGTTTTTGAACAACAGTGTGATTGATGGTAGTGAATGGCAATGGTGGTTGATTGTGGTAATGAGTGACATTGGACAACAATGGTGGTGGTGAGTGTTAACGGTGGGCGATGGTGATAGTGAGATGATGATAGTAGTAATAATAAATATAAAAATAAGATGATGATGGTGGCAGTGGACAACGGTGATAGCAATGGTGGTGGGTGGTAGTGATGGTTGTCTTGGGGGTGGTGGTAGTAAAGGTGATGGTGGAACAGTGGCTGTGGTGAGAGGGTGACAACGGCGGCGGTGGTCATGGTCGTGATAGTGATGGCAGGGGTGGTGATTGTGGGGATAGGGATAGTGGTTGGGTGGCAGTAATGGTGGTGGGGTGACAGCGACATTGGCAGTGGTGATGGTGGAGGTGTTGGTGAGGTGGCAACGACAGTGTTAATGATGATGGTGGTGGGACGGTTTCAAACAATACTTTGTTTTTAAAAGTATTTATTAGAAGTTATAAGTCTTAAAAACACTTTTAAAAAGTCACTATAAACACACCATTAAGACCTATTTTTCTTATTAAATTTGACGTATTGATATTAGCAATCGGATTAACTTTAAAGTAAAATTTAAAAAGATTTTAACCGCAAAAAATATAAATCATTTTGTTTATTTTTTAAAATTTAAATTGTATTGTACTTTATTATACAAATATATATTTGGTTTTAAAATGTCACTCCATATGTGCATTAAAATGGAAACCTTTATCTAGGTTTTAGAAATATTTATATAGTAAGAAGTTAAGAGTTTGAATCTTATTTTCATATATATTTTTTGATTTGTTTTGTCATATCATTTATTTGTATCATAAGTTAAATTATTTAATTTTTGGTTCATTTATTACTCATATAATACAAATTTTATTTCAAATATTGTTTATATATAATTTTGTACATATGTTAGTATTTTTTTTGACGCATGTATTTTAAAAAAAAAATCTCCTTATTTAAAAATTAATGGTTAGAATCAAACATCATAGGACTAGGTCTTATTTTCTATCGATCAAATCTACCACACCCACACGTAGTATTAACGTGTCATATGGGTTAATTTGGCAGCCATAATAAAGTTGTACGAATGGTAAAGCTTTGACTAACATGTCCACTCAAATTTTTATAAACTTTATGGAGAATGGTGTAAACGAAAGACCGATGTCATTGTGGTTTAGCTATGTGTATTTGGAGAAAATATTCAATATAACGGTCACACCATATCATTATCATTTTTATCATGCCTTGTAACAGCACAATAAAAATATAATAAATATAAGCAAATGGATTATTAACTGCCCATCCACGCAATTCAATAACTATCTCGTGTGATGAAATGTGATTCAATTTTATTTTTTTTAAGAAATAATGATATCACGTGATAGTTAAATTTTATATTACTCGTGTATTCGGTTGGATCTAGATTCTCTCTAGTACACTTTTTTTTCAATTCTTTTATTTTGTCTTACTTGAATATATAGTGAATGATATGCCAAGAAAAAAAAATTAAAAAACAAAATATATTGAAGAGGATGATATTTTTTTTGTTTTTTTTTTTTTTTTTTTTTTTTTTTGGGGGGGGGGGGGGGGGGGCAGGAACCGCCCATGGAACAGAGGCCACACATTCCAGAGACCATTAAAGGCCTGCTGGCACTTGCCCATGACCCATCTTTCTTCTTTTATATTCCCGTGCACAGAAATGAGACTTCCTCCTTTTATTTTAAGCTCACTCTCACTTTCCTGTCTTTCTTTCTGTTTAGGAGGCAAGGGGCACACCTCCTAGATTACCTTATGTTTAGTTTAGTAACTGTTTTTAAGTATATCCTCTAGTACCCAAACCAAACTTAGCCTAAAGAAATACAAAAATAAAGTCCAATCACATGACTCCAAATCAAATTATAGTTGAAGACCAAAAAAAAAAAAAGTAAAAGAAGCACTAATGACAGTTCACCCAACTCACTTGCTAAAGTTAATGGGGAAAGGTCAACTACAGCTGTCACCCACATGCGGTGGCTGTTTGGTCAATCTATTGTTCTAGTTGGATCATCTTTAGGTTTTGTTGGGTGGAATTCCAAATAAATTAGAAGAGTCGCACAATACCATAAATAGTTATATTAGACACAATATCATAAATAGGTATATTAGACATATGAAATAGAAATATAAAAGTCAAGTTGTATTTAAATTGATTTGGTGACAATATTTTATCTATATAAATAAAGTTAATGTGTATCATATAACCAGTTATCAATTTATCAAGGAAGAATTAGACCTAAATTTTTTGAGTTTTGTCAATTAATCACTCAAATTCTTTGACATTTGAAATATTATATACAGATCCCTTGAAATTTATACGCGCATAACATTTAGACATTTGTTGTAAATATATCACTTAATAAATTATACTTAGACCCCTTAAAGTTTATAAATATATAATACTTATACCCTTTAAGTTTAAAATATTATACTTAGACAAAAAATACTCCAATGAAAAATAAAATATCAAATATTTTAAATCTTACGAACAAAATTCATGTTTATTATATCATTTATTGAAATAAAATCAAAATAAAAATTTAATTTTTTTTCTTAAAAAACGTAATTAATATACAATTATATTGTCTATTGAAATTTAATTTGGTCGTTTAAACGACCATATTAAAATACTAAACTACATCAATTAAAGCTAAAAGATATTGTATCCATTACAGTTTGACTCATTGTTTAATTTTTTAGTTTTATTCTAAATAGATAGTATAATTATATACTAACTATGATTTTTTTAGAAAAATTATATTTTTATTTTTGATTTTATTTCAATAATTGACATAATAGAACATGAATTTGTTTGATTTTTTAGTTTTATTCCAATAGATAATATAATTGTATATTAATTATGATTTTTTAAGAAATAATTAAAATTTTATTTTTAATTTTATTTCAATAAATGATACAATAGAACATGAATTTTGGTTATAAAATTTTAAAATATTTGATATTCTATATTTGATTGGAGTATTTTTGGTATAAGTATAATATTTTAAACTTAAGGGGTCTAAGTATTATATGTCTATAAATTTTAGGGGGTCTAAGTATAATTTATTAAGTGATATATTTACAGTAGGGGTCTAAATGTTATACGTGTACAAACCTCATGAGATCTGTGTGTAATATTTCAAATGTCATGGGATATGAGTGATTAAGTGACAAACCTCACGAAATCTGAGTATAATTCTCCCATTTGTCAATTAATAATACACCGATATAGTTTTTAGTCCATGTATGTAAGTATTATGTACCGACGTAAGTACGTTGTATTGAACCAAGGTGTAGCTTAGAGTTTGTTTTTGGGTTAATTGTTTTTTATCCCGGTGGTTTTGGCTAGATGTCAAAAAAGGAGGTTCATTGTATTTGTTTGTTAATGTTTTATTAGAGGATGATATTAAGTGACATCAATGACTTAATTATATAAATTAAATATTTGCTCCTAATATTAATAAGTTTTAATATTAAATGAGGTTTATTATTAATTTAATATCTATAACAGATTAAGTTTGTTTTTGTGGACCCTGAAATGGCAGGTTATCCGTCCTACGTTCTCTCTCTTATGGGTCGCCATCCGTCCACTATTTCACCCGCACTTGCTTGATTTCAACGAGGGTGGACATTTGTTGGTGGAGAACTACCTTGCCTGATTGCTATGTTGCCACAAATATTACATTGCACAAATTACAAACACATCCCTTCAAGTTTAGCGAAATTGCAGATGGAATTACTAAGCTTTTTTAGAGGAGCAGCTGCTGATCCAACAACTGTCTCTAATATGCGTGGGCTTGGAATGACTATGCATAGATCACCCCTATCTTTCTTTCTGTGTGTGTGTGTGTGAGAGAGAGAGAGAGAGATATGTTCAAAACGCCAATCCAAATTTGCCGGCTAATATTAGAGTAATTGTTTTGCAAACTAAAAGGTGAAGATGGTGTTCTAGGCAAACCTCATACTATCTAAAAGACCCAATGGAAATTAGTCCTTGAAACCATAAGGAACTAAAACCAATTTATCAGCACATAGTTGTTTTCTTCAACTTTGAAGAAAAGACATGGCTGCAAGTTTCACATATCAACAAGAAACACAGTTTATAGGCCTATAGTGGTCGGATAGACTATCTTTTTCTTGGTGAGTCTGTATGAACTCGCATATGTTCTAATGATTCCTTTATCCACCATAGGTAGAATATGGAAGAGATTATCATTAACCCAGCTGCAGATCCAAATGCAATTCCAACAAGTCGTCCTACTCGTTTCTTGCCGCGCTTTGAGGTACCAACACCATCAGACCCTTCAAAACAGTCAAGGAAAAAGATGGGGGACATAAGAAAATCCGTTTGAGGTAATTAAAAGATCAGTGATTGTGTGCATCCGAGGTTTACATCGGAGTCACGTGTCTACAAAGGCTCGTGGGATGGATGATTCTCAGTCACCCCCAACAAAAAAAAAAAAATTAGAATAAAAAGCATGAGAATGGTTTGGGTAACCTTTAGAGACATGGATAGCTGACACTAAAGGTCCATACGTGCTTTGAGATGGAATGCAGCAAGTGCCTCTCCCTGCCCAGAAGAAATGAATGTCCATGATTGTGTTGGTCACATTTGCCTCGAATGTCTTTACCAAGGCTCTCTTGGATCCACCTGCTTCCTCTTGGATGTTGAAATCCCGAAGAACTCTTTCACCCTTGCAAACCAGAAGGAGATGCAACTGATCAGTTGACAATTCAGATCACATAACAAAATTGCCTAGGAAAAAATGTTCAATCTACAAGTACTGTCTGGAATAGAATCAGAACTGCCTCCAATGACATATTAAAATTTTAAGGGTAACTAAATGACCCTGAAAATTCATCCTCATGGATTTTTGGGGAAGGGAAAGGTTAGTAACAATCTGAGCCATGATGAATTTTAGGAGATTAAAAAGATAGAGGTCCTATCTGACCCTTGATTATATTTTTCCACCTTTTTGTTGTAATCAGCAATGGCTGAGAAGTGGTTGCTGTGTGTGTTTTTTAGGAGTACGAGGCAAATAAAAGTTCAACAACTCACGGTTCATCGAATTTTTTCCTTCTGGAATTATTGCTGTTTGGATTACTAGCAATGAGATTTGAATCACTGACCCATGATGCTATTCTAGCATTACCATTCCGAATAATACTAAAATTTTCCAATAATCCAGAGTTTGTTAGCCACATTCAGGGTATCCACATGCAACTCCTCACACCATGAGTTCATTTCTTGGGAGTACTTTGCTTTAAGATCAATGGCAGTTTTCTATTTTGGCATAAAGTTCAATTACCTGGATGTAAACGTCAAATAAGCGCCTTCCAAGCCCTCTCCAAGATTGAGAGTCATCGATTTGTATCTCAGCGAAGTGAAGCTCGACTTTATAATTCCCATTTTTCAGGCCAAGACCATAATACCTTAATGAGCTAGGTGAGATCCTTGCTGTTTTATAGAGCTCTGATTCGAGTGTCTCCATAATTTGAGAATCTGTGTGTGCAATAGATTGAGGTCCATTCGGGTTTGAAATGAAACTTCCTGTATTGCTCACTGCCCATTGAGAATTGGAGCTTGTGTACAATGAGGCAGCTCCTAGTGTTTCTGAATCATCATCAAACTTGATGCCTGATGCAGATACTTGTTCGGTCCCACCACATTTGATAGAGAATGAAGCTACATGATGGACAAAACAAGATTGTGAGATTTCAAGATCAACTTACTGAAGGAAATATATTGGATTTTCTCTAGTTGTGCATCTCCATTGTTTGTAGCAATTTATCTTGCAGTGAACGACGAAAATAATCCACCTATATTGGTCCAAGTATAATGTTTACTACTTATTTTTGTGCATAAGAAAAGTACAGAATATTGTACTTACTCTTTATATTTCTACTCATCCTAAAAATTCATTCTACATATGATGAAACACCAAACAAATGCCCTCCCTGAGGATGATCTCTTATGATCGAGCCTTTTGATAGCTTTCCAAACACAACCTATATATATAGCAGTTGAAGTTTGAGTATAAGAAGAAACGAACACTTACTGGCTGGAACTTCTGTAGAGCAACTCTTATTGCCTAGGAGGCAATGCAACATTGCAGAGGCCTTCCTGCACCAATTAGTAATAAAACAGTCAGCAAAATGCACCCACAAGAAGCTCCCAAGAAAAGAGGAAAAGGAAACACTTGAGGTCCCAAATCATTTTGTTAGCTACCATAATTTCATTGTAATCACTAGTGCAGTTCTGGTTTCTGGTATTAGCAAGTGACTTACTCATCCTGTAAAAAGTTGGCATTGATGGAAGTTCCAACAACATTCCTGAGAATAAAAAGGCAGTTAGTTTTTAATTTCCTATTGGCATGAGATTAGGAAATAGAGTGGCTAACGAGTTGAGAAAAATGCTAAATTTGTAGATGATCTCAATGAATAGCTAGGGGAGGCGTGTGACGTTGTAAAGTTGATGATGTGAACTTACATTGATAGTCCTACTTTAGCAAAATTTAGAGGTGAGTTTCCAGAAAGAAGATTGAAGGAGACATCTCTGCCACAAAGTGAAATATTCAATTAGAACCACGAGTGAACTGCCTAGAAACAGATAAGTTGTATGAAGAAGCTTATATTTGCATCATAAAGTCATCAAAATTCTCATTGTCGTGGTCACGAAATTAACTTATAATGGAACCTTGGTGCCGGTTTCTGGCCGATTAATTACAGCCAATATTTGTTTACAAAATTTTTAGCCCTCCAACAATCTGCAGTGTAGAGTCCCGGTATATATAACCAATGAAAGTTACAATAAAGATAAAAAGATAAAAAAAGAAAAACTTAATAAACCCTAATAAACTTAGCTGCTATATCTCCAACACTCCCCCTCAAGCTAGGCGCAAAAATGTCAATTAAGTCAAACTTGACAATTGAGTCCCGAAAAATTGATAGAATGACAGGTTTGGTGAAAACGTCCTCAACTTGATCACTAGTCCCCACAAACCATGGAGTGACAATACCACTGCTAACCTTCTCCTGAAGGAAGTGAACATCGATCTCTATATATTTCGTCCTCTCATGTAATACAGAGTCAGAAACGAGCTGAATAGTAGATCGATTATCACAATATAATGTAGATGAAAAAGTCACTTGATTTCGCAACTCGCCAATAATCGATCGTAGTCAAATAATCTCACATGTGCCAAGTGGCAGTACCCGTTATTCTGCCTCTGCTGACGAGTGAGAGACAACTGACTGCTTCTTGCTCTTTCAAGAGATAAGATGAGTTCCTCAAAAAACACAGAAGCCAGTAGTAAATCGACCGTCACATGTTCCCCCATAATCTGAATCTGAATAACAGGCTAGAGAACTAATTTGAGATCCTGATGCATAGAACAACCCAAGTCCAGGACAAGACTTGAGGTACTGAAGAATATGATAAACTGTATCAAAATGAGGTTGACATGGTCTGTGCATGAACTGACTAACTCGGCTGACAGCGAATGAAATGTCTGGCCTAGTGTTGGCTAGGTAGATAAGTCTACCTACCAACCTCTAATAGATAGTCAGATCTCTCAACTCCTCACCTTCAGCAATAAACTTCAGGTTTGGAATCATGGGTGACGATGCCGATTTGCACCCCAGCATCCCAGTGTCTGAGAGAAGATCCAGAACATACTTTCTTTGAGAAAGAACAATACCTCTGCTACTACGGGCAACCTCAATCCTAAGAAAGTATCGCAAAAATCCAAATCCTTTACATCGAAGGCCTTTCCAAGGTCTACCTTAATCTGCGCAGTCCCAGAAATATCATTTTCAGTAATAATAATATCATCAACATATACTAAAAGGATGACACACTGTCCAAAAGTATTCCATCGAGTGAAGCAGGTATGATCAGAATGACATCTGGTGAATCCTAAACGTACAACTACATCACTAAAGCAAGAGAATCAGACTCATGGTGACTGTTTCAGTCCATAAAGAGACTTACGCAATCGACAAACCTTTCCACCATACTCCCCCTCACCACAAAAGTCGGGTAGTACATCTATATAAATAATCTCGTCCAGATCACCGTGAAGAAATGAACTATTCACATCCAACTGATAAAGAGGCCAAGAGTATTCTAGAGTCAAAGAAATAATCAGTCGAACAATAGTCAATTTTGCCACCGGAGCAAAGGTAGTACCAAAATCACGACCTGGTACTTGAGTAAAGCCTTTCGCCACAAGCCTAACCTTGTGACGATCAATAATACCATCCGGAAAAAATTTCAGGGTGTAAACCCAGCGACAGTCAACAGGCTTTACCCCTAAAGGTAAAGAGACAAGATCCCACGTATGATTACGCTAAAGAGCGTTCATCTCTGTCTGTATGGCAAGAACCCATTGGGGCTCTTGCATAGCCTCTGAAACAGAGTAAGGAACCGACGTATCTTATAAGACCATACTATAAGCTTGAAATGTAAGAGATAGATCACCATAAGAAATATAAGCAGAGATCGGATATAAAATTCTGGCGGTCCAACCATAATGAACAACTGGACGACGATCACGCCGCGAATAATGACGTCCTAAATCATCATCCTCCATTGATAATGTCTCATCAGGTAAAACAACTGGCTCAGTACCTGCAATCTCATCAGTACTAATAACAAGTGCATCAATATGCTCAACGAACTGAGAAATATTACCTGCATCGCCTGAGGTAGAGGGGACATCAGCAGGGGGATGAGAGTGAGGACGAAGAACATATACCTGCAAAAAAAAAGAGACTGGTGACTCTGTATTGACAGGGATGAGTGGCTCTGGAGGAGGAGAGACCGATGACTCTATAGTGATAGTGATCAATGGCTCTGACTTCGATGGTAATGGAAAATCAAAGGGAGTATCATCAACTAGAGGGGCAGACACAGGACTGGAAGAAAAATAAGGAATATGCTCAAGGAAGGCAACATCTAGACTGTGATACATACGTCGCCTGATAGGATCATAACACCGATACCCCTTAGACTGATGACAATAGCCCACAAAGATACAACGAATCACTTTATTATCAAGCTTATGATAAGTAGGAGACCGATCCTGAACAAAACATGTGCAGCCAAAAATACGAAGGGGGGACCGGAAAAAGTGTCCGTTCAGGAAATAAGACTTGTAAGGGAGCCCTATGCTGAAGAACACGACTCAGTGTACGATTGCACAAAAAGGTAGAAGTCAAAACAATAAAATGTCAATAAGATTTTGGTACCCCCATACCTCTAAGCATACAACGTACCATCCCTATCAGACTCCTATTTTTCCTTTCAATAACTCTATTTTGCTCAGGAGTATAAGGACAAGTGAGCTACTGAAGGATATCCTGAAAGGAAAGGTGAGACACTAAGACATCAGACACATATTCTTTGGCATTATCCGAACGTAGAGCATGAACAATGACATTGAACTGTATCTTAATCATCTGAAGAAATTGAGTAATGACAGGGAGTACATCAGAATTCCTATGCAAAAGGTAGATCCAAGTACAACGGGTATGGTCATCTTTAAATGTCACATAGTATCGGACACCTGATAGAGCAATAACAGGAGAGGGTTCCCAAATATCCGAATGTATTAGGTCAAATGGTTTGGGTGACTGGTGCATGCGAGGAATATAACTAGTCCGAACATGTTTTGATAGAGAACATATAACACATTCAAGTTTACCACTAACACAAGCTTTGCTCAAAGCAGGAAATAACATACATAAATATTTAAAATTTGTATGCCCAAAACGGTCATACCACAACTGAACAGTTTGTGATAAAAAATCATAACGACAAATATTAGGTAAAATAATAGTATGTAGGCTAGGAATAGATAAAGACAAAGCAGGTGATGGAGGTGGAGGTGGAGAAACTAGTGAAACTAAAGGTGGAGCGCCTAAATAATACAATCCTTCTCTCTCATGTCCCCTGATAATAATCCTCCTGGTACTCAGGTCCTGCAAATAACACGAATCAAATAAGAACACAACCGCACAGTGAAAATCTCTGGCTAACTGATGTACAGATAATAGATTCATGACCAGCTTTGGCGCATGAAACATCGAACGTAATGTAAAACTATCTGGGAGGCGGACTGTAGCCCTACTAACAATAGGGGCATGTGTACCATTTGATAATTGAACTTGAGTATGTAACTGCTCGTCAAAAGAAGTGAAATGATAGGCCTAACCTGTCATATGACCATTAGCACCCGAGTCCAGCATCCAAAGAGAAGAAGGACTGGCGCAAGTATGAAAGACACGAGGTATGTCTGTAGTAATGACAGTAGTAGTAGTAGTCAAACCTTGAAAAGTCAAGGTTAACATACGTATATCCAAACGAGAAGTGATAGCAAGCAGTAGTAGCAGGAACAATGATTGTAGGTAGTGGTGCCTTAGCAATGGCAGCAGTACCACTGCGAGGAGGCGACTTAAGCTCCGGATGGAGCTTCCAACAAGTAGCCCTGAGATGTCCTAGTCGACTACAATAATCACACTGACGGGAATCCCCATATCTACGCTGATGTAGGGTACCCTGACGATGTTGGGCTGAGCGCTGTCGACCCCTATACCTGGTGGAAGTACTAACAGATGCCTCAACGGTAGGGATCTCAACTCCCTCAGTAGTAGTCATATCATCAATAATACTAGGGCACTCGTGACAGAAAAACAACTCTAAGATAAATAGAGGAATAAAATAAGGGAGAACAATATACCTCTAGTCGAACAGTAGCGACAAATAAAGAAGGTCCAGAAAACTCCCAAATAATCAGGTCACGGTGCCCAAAAATCTAATAAATATAAATAAATGATCTACTGTATCAAGAGCATATCAACGAAGAAGAGAATTCAACCCCTCTTTAAAAAGTCCTAGATACTACAGTCTGGCAGCACTGTGACGAAGAATGCGAAGGACAAAGCCACAAAAATCGCAACCCAACAATGGGCTGATGAATGGGCTGGTTTGTGGTAAGTGACCCAGCAGTGGGCTGGTTCAGGCTGTGGACTGGTCTATGGTATATTGGATTTAGGCCGGACAATGACCTAGCTGGAGATAATGATGTTTCAATGCAGCAAGCTGTCGGTGTGGCCTGGGCAGTGATTGGTTTTGGTATGGGGCAGTCGGTGGGATGCAGCAGGCTGTCATAGGTCGGTTTGGTTGGGCGGCTGATGGCAGGGTGGTTTTGGTAGTGGTTGCGTTGGTGGGCAGTGCTTTGGGTTGGTGATTTTGTCAGTGGGCAATGACTGTTTTGCTTGAAGGTAGTTTGCCAGTGAGGCAGTCGTGGTGGAGGCTAGGGTTAGGTTAAGGTTAGAGTTTGGCTCTGATACCTACTTGAAATATGTAGAAGAGAGAAAAAGGGATACAAACTAAATGTAGAGGCCCCGTATATATAGCCAATGAAAATTACAATAAGGTAAAAAAGGAAAAACTTAATAAATCCTAATAAACTAAGCTGCTATAACTCCAACACCTCCTAACAACCTTGATTAACAGGTACCAAACAGTGTAATGGCTCATCTTGAAGAATCTTTGCACAAAAGATTTGAGAAAGCATTGAATGAAATAAGCACAGTTCAATTTAACAAAGCAAAAAGTTCAATTTTGTTCACATAATCTTGAAGGAAAGACAATCCCTATTCAGCATTCAGAACTTACAGGGCAACAAGCTTTGGACTTATAATGTATGGAGGTAGTTCCCCAGTCAAATTGTTGTTTCCAAGATACCTGAAATGGAAAGAAGTCACCATTAAGCAAAGTCTAGGTATGATGGTGCAGAAATGAACTAAATTGAAAAACTTACAGGTACTGCAATGAAGCAAAGTTTTGGTATAAGTATGGAATCGGGCCTGTCAGCTTGTTGAAGCTCAAGTCCCTTTCATGGTGATTACATTTCAACAATGTAGAGAAATCAGAAGTTTGATGTATATAACCTTTTGTAATGAAAATCTGAAGAGAATGATCAATTATGTTGGAAATATGAGCCAGTTCCTATAGCATTCTACTTTTGAAAAACGAGAATGAAATCAATATCAAAGTGCAACAAGGAAAAAGGGTTCGAGAGAGCAGAGGATATCAACATGAATGGTAGATTATTTTCAGTGACAGGGAAACTTACAGTATTTTCAAGTTAGCAGAGTAGCTAAGGTAATCTGGAAGTTGGCCAGCCACACGGCAGTTTCTCAATGATCTGTAAACCATACAAAGATGGCATGTAAACTATAAACATGAACTAACAATGCAGTGACGAGAAGTTTAAACATAAAAGAGCTCTTCTGAAAGTTGAATCATTCAAAACCTTACAATATGGACAAACTTGTCAAGTTCTCCAGGAAGTCAAGAGAAGAATCTTCCTTACTAAGATCACCTATTCTCCTATAGAAAAAGATAGGATGATCAAATGTCGACATTGCTTTTCTGATGAAAACTGAACTTTTTATAAATTGGACATTAAAGCTATGTAAGAATGAGAACAGTGAGCATCAAAAATATCAAATCCCATATTAGATATCAGCAGGGTAAAACACTATGGATGTAACTTCAGTAGAACAGCACATGAGAAGGCCACACAAAAGAAGCAAAAACTTAAGCTCATCTGTGGAGATCTAAGTAGAAAGGCACTGCCAAAAGGAAACCTCCCTTATATTTTGAATTACATTATAGGTAATTCATTGCTCTAGTTTGTTACCGAAAAAAAAGGTGTGCAACAGAGCAGTTTTGGGAATGAACATTGCACTTGCATTGGATCACATGGAAGGATCTTGTGTAGATCATTGGATGTCCACTCTCATCTACATGTATCCAACAATGAAGTTTCCTCAACTATATTTTCGTAAGTACAGTAAATGGTCTTTCATTAAACTAAATGAAAATGTAAACAAGCAAATGCAACTCCTTACAAGTCCTCCAGTTTTGTTAGCGCACCATAACTGCTTGGAATGGGGCCCTCAAGCATTGCTCCTTGAATTCTCCTGTCAATTGACAGAAGTTCCATGCAGAACATAAGACCGAAAAAACACCATTTACAAAATCTCCATTCTAAGAAATGAAAATTCATATAGGAATTCATGCATACAGGTCCTTGAGATCTGTAAGAGTTCCAATGAAATCAGGAAGCTTTCCAGTAAAAAGATTATCAGAAGCCCATCTGAAAGAGGGAAAAAAAACATTTTCAAGAATAAGAATCGTATATATCACCATACAGAGATCAACACCTATTCTTATGAAGAAAAGTGATAAGAAATTACAATTTCTGGAGGGATTTCAAATATGAAAGTTCTGGTGGAATCGGTCCACTGACTCTGCTGCTCTCTATGTACCTGAATGATTCACAGAACAATTGATCCAGAGTTCATGGCCAAGAAAAAGATGAATTAGTAGTACACTTACAGCTCTTGTAATGAGGTTAAATTTCCAAGCTTGGGGGGCAAGGGACCATTGAAATTGTTTGACCCAAACCTTCTGTAACAAAAAAAAAATTAGTAGAGCAGTTCATTAAATTGGGTCAGGAGTAAAATATTACAAGGGTGATGGAACTATATATGAACATGCTGTGAATTAGCTTACAAGGAAAGCAATTTGGTGAGATTGCCAAGCTGTGGAGGCACCAGACCAGTGAGATTATTAATGCCAAAGTTCCTGTTAGATGAAAATATATTCGTTAAAGGAATTCGAAAAATGGCTGTAATCCCAATTTTTGAGGAAGTTTGAGTGGCATTTACAACTTACAAGTACTGCATATTCGATAATTGTCCGATTTCTGGTGGGATATTACCACTTAACACATTCTGACCCAGATTTCTGCACCATAATGTATGAGTAAATCAACAACCAGTAAAAGTATCCAACAATTATCCTATCTGATATAGTATCTGTGATTCATAGCTTAGACTTCAATCACTTACAAGTCTATCAGTTTATTAAGCACAAAAAGTTCTTGGGGGATTTCACCAGAGATGTCCAAAGCATACATCTTCCTGAATAGGATGACAATTGGAAAAAGTTCTTAGGATGAAAAATTTATAATGAAGAGCAGAGACATTGAGGGTGATGACAAACAAGTGGGTGATATGGCAGACAGTGCTGGAACAGTCACAAGCAATCCGGGGGTTGGCATTTTCTGGAGCCCAAGTGGCATTTGGGGTGCAGGGATCAATGGTTAAATTCAGCTTTATTCTCAAATTCCACTTATCTATCATCTTGTTCAGAGCCTCCACTGACCAACAAAGAAGGGAACATTGAGAGTATGCATTAACTTTCATTAGTATCAGGTACACATTGAAATGAGAGAGAGAGAGAGAGAGAGAGAGTGACCTTCATTGGGGTCTGTGGCTACTTGTGCAGCAACAATCTCAAGCACCCAAAACACAAAGAAAGAGAAGCTTAAAACCCCCATTACAGAGCAGTGAGCAGTCTCAGAGAGAGAGAGAGAGAGAGAGAGAAATTTCAATTTGATTGTGAGGAATGGAAGGAGAAGGCCGGCCTGCAACTTGTGGGACTTGAATTCAGATTCTTGTCCATTGAAAAACAACAAAACAAAGCCAAAAACAGAATTTTGATCATAATAAATAGATATATACTGGTACATATATATAGTTTAATGGATAAGCTAATTTCTTCTTTGGATTTTGTTAATACTTATGAAGTTGGTGACAAAATCAAACTGCATATATTGACTCTTCCTTTCCCACTTTGGACTCGTTCATTACCCGCCAAAAATCTAATCATAAAGCAAAAGCATCTGATGTGTGTGTGTCTATATATATATATATATATATATTTTCTTTGGTAGATCATTCACCATGTATCCGTGATTGATTCTTTGTACAAATCAGATCCCACTTAAATTCACAATAGATCATCTACCAAGGAAGAAAATGGAGGAAAAAAGTATTAGAGAAGAAATCATTTTACCTATGTAATCTTCATTGTTTATAATGAGTTTCTATCTTCACACTTCGCATCTCTACATAAAATTCAAGTCATATCACATACTTTAGGGTGTACTTGGAAGGACATCCTGCCAAAGTTATAAAATTAGGACCTCGATATGGTTTTCTTATGTTTAGGAGGTTATGTTTCTTTTGCGGTTTCCTGTTTTATCGTTGTTTGCTTTTGATCTTTTACATAACATTAATAAATCAATCAACACCTGGACATACTTTTCCAACAAGCAATGATCAAATTTGTGTAATGAATTATTTAAATCAAATTCCAAAGAATTTTCAATTGTTTTGGCCAATTAGGCTTTGAATTGATCAAATGACTTAGCAGCAAACGGATCTTCAGCTCTATTTAAGCACAACTTCATTGCTAAACCTACCCCAAAAACAAGTTGAACAAGCATAAGGCCAATTAGATCAATCACAATCTCATTCTCTCTTAGCAAATTCCAGCATTTGTAGGACTTTGTAAACTAAAAATTTGCTCGGTCCAAATGCTACCACCAAAAAAAGAAGAAGAAGAAGAAAGAAGAAAATCCTTCAATTTTATAAAAAAAAAAAGGCCATGCAATATCATATCAAGACATAATGAAAAAGTTGAAAACACGTCAACCATTTTTTTTTTTGCCCTGCTGCTGCACTTACTTAGTCCGTTTATTATTTCCAATAGTGCAAACAAACTTGTTGGAGTTGGGCTCGTAAAACAAACTTCGATCCATTTTTTGGACATTTTGTTTTCTAAAAAAGTCCAAAAAATACATTCTACAAATCCAAGTGTGCAAAGAACAAAGAGTAAACAACACATTTGTTACTTTTCAAATATCACAAGACTGAAAGAGTATTTATGCAGCATCTAGACTTCAATCGGTTTAGCTTTAACCATTTTAACACCCCCCAGATACAATCGTTCCATGCTTGCAAATAAGATTTGGTGAAAGGCAGTGTACTAATTGAGGGGATAATAATCTTCCGTCTTGTTAATCGGCATTTCTTAATATCTCCATGCGTTGCACAGAGTCGATGAATGTTCTGCAAAAACATTAGTTATCCAGCATTAGATCACAAATTAAGTAAACAGACGGAGAAGATCACTTGAGTGGTGTGCTACATAGACTTAAAAATTAGACTTGATAATCTCAACCATTGAATAAGTAGTGAGTCTCAATAAATGCTGGGACCTACAGTGAAATCAATGATTGAGATTATCAAGTCTACTTTTTAAGTCCACGTAATATTGCTCTTTTTTTTTCCTGACATATACTTAAACAAAAAAGACCACAAAAAAATATGTATTAAAATTATGTTGCAGCCAATTTTGAAGTAAATTTACGGGTCTATATTGTTTATTGACAAGTAACATTGGTTTTTACAAAGTAATCTCTCCATAAGAAGTACTAAAATACTCAATAATTCACGCCATAATAAGTGAAGTCTTAAAATATCTTTATGGTGGAAACGAGCTGTCACGAATAGTATTTTGCACCGGTAAATAATTCTTTATGACAACACTATCACCATGAAAAATTTATTTTCTTCAGTTACCATAAAAAACTTATCTCAAAAAACCCTAATTCTTGTCGTGCTCGAGCAAATTCCCCTTAAAATCCACACTTTCTTGAATAATTATCAATAAGACTCGTGATTCATTAAACTTAATGTGTCATTATTATTTTTGTAAAATATGAAAAATATCTATATTATATTGTAAATGAAAAGAACTCGAGTCCACTAAGTTGAATGACACATTGCTCAAGGCTGGCATTAATGTTAACTAAGCTTAAAATTAATGATATTTTGGTTCATGTCAAAGAACTAAAAATTAAACCAAGCCGCTGCCCCAGCCCCAACCCCAACCCCAACCGTCGAGCCAAGCTCAAGCCAATTGGTTCAATAAACGTCTTAGCTTCACCTTCTATGTAGGACAGTTCTTTTGATGCAAGCTGATACTGATTTTAATAATCGCTACCGTTGATTTAATTGTGGTCGAAATTCATACTAATTCAATGATTGTGATTGATTAGATCAGTAAATCAGATTAACATGTTAGATACGAAATATCATTTTCTAATCAAATTAATGAGCTAAAGAGAGAGGGAAAGCAACGAATGTGCATACTGCCATGGAACATCCCCAACAAGCAGCCAGTCTCTATCTTTGTCCTGATACATGAGTGTATAATCGGCGTCATCTATGTCACTTTTCGGGCCTGCAAAAGAACAAACAACGAACTGTTTCAAAACCTCGTTTAGTGACTTCGAACAATATGTACAGTACATGTAAAACGAATAGGTAGGACCGTAGGAGTGTCCCTTTTACCCGTTGACCCCACACAAAACCCGAAACATGAAAATGACCCGATCGAATGACACGATTTAAAGTTGGATTCGAATTTGGATTTGGACTAAAATCCAGTTCATTGACAGGCCCAAGCACAGTGGTGTCACTTACTTTTAACAAACATGTTGATTAAGGAGTTTGCAAGGGTCTGATAAGAATGATGGAGCTGTAGGTCTATCTTTCTTCCTATGGCCACTCCTTCCATCTTCACCTTAATATACGTGGAGTTTGTTCTGTTACTTCCCCTCTCGGTCGTCCAGTGGGTTGCGATCCGACAACCTTGGTGTCCATCATATAGTTTTCCCCTCCATGACTTAATAGGTGGCCACCCCATCAGATGATGATCTTCTTCTCCACTTCTCCTGCCACATCTTAAGAATACTGATGTTAGTATGATCCTTCTGAATTATATGATCATGCCACATCAGGGGTGGATCAACAATATTTGGGGCTTAAATTTTTATTTTTTTATTTTTTTAATTTAAAATTTATTATTTTTATTTTTTGACGAAATTCGAAATCAAAATTATTTTTTTATTTAAAATTTTTAATATATTTTTTTGATTAATAATATGACGTTTGATCATAAATATTATAAGAATATCGAAACTGTAATATTAGATGATTGACTTTATTATAAATTAATTCATTGTTATTTTTCTTTTGGATTATTTTATTATCGTTAAAGTTGACTTATTTATCTATGCAACTTTCACCTAAATTTTTGTTATATTTTATTTGTTATGAATAAGAATTTTATCAAAACATTTTTTTAATGAGGATGAATGGTTTAATCGGTGTTTTGCGTTCAAATGAGAAAAAAATAAACAAGTTTAAAAGTAGAGAATGTGTTTGGTTTGATTTTTTTTTTTTTACTAAAGAGATGCTTATTATACTTCTTTCAATTGTAAAATAGAGATGAATTTTGTCAAACACTTTTTTTTTGTTAATATTTTTTTGGCCTTTAATAAATGTGATTGTGTTAGGTGGTCTAAATTTTTGGGCCCAAATTTTTAATTTTTTTGTTGATTTACTCTTTCAAAAATTATTTTATTCGGCTATATTAGGGCCTTTTTTTTATATGTAGGGCCTAAAGTCCACGTTTTTATTTTTATACTATAGGGCCAGCCCTGTGCCACATCAAAAATTAAAAATAGACCCGATATTTAATCAGGTGAGGGCAGTTCTAGTGTCACAATAAGATTACTTAATGACAATTTTAAAATTACATGTTCGAGTCACGAAAACCCTCGTCTACATTTGAGTTAAGAATATGTAGAATAGTGTAGAGCTTGGGATAAAGTGATAAATAAGCTTTTTCATTAGGTCTTTTACTTGACGAACTTTGACATGGGTTGTCCATGAAATTTTAGAATTTAAAGGGGGTGTCGCTAAAATTAGGCCTACCGAAAAAACGTGTGGATGAAATTTACCCCTAATATATCCATAGAGTTTGAGTCAAAAGTTTTCTTTGTTCTTTCCCACGTATAGTCGAGAATGTTTCTAAAAATAACAAAATAATAAAATAAAATAAAATAAAATGTTTCTAAAAATCCATTTAATGGTCTTTTTTGGACATTTAAACACACTTAACACCATAAAATTCATAATGAAATGGTAATTAATTCACAGGAAGAATTCATAAACTATGCAGGCAAGTGAATAAACACAATTGTAAACCAAAGCAAACATATATGTTGTACAGTAGAAATGGTTAATTTCTCCGACATTCATACATTTCCCATTTTATTTCAGATTGAAAATAAGGAGTGGTATGCAGAATGAGCACTTTCTAAATGCTAATGAGCTCTAACTTACTTGATGATGGTGTTAGATCTTCTCCTCTTTTGTCTCCTTTCATCATCTTCCTCGTTTGGTTGGCCATTCCACATCAGTACAGATGAAGTTTCGGTTTCAATTCGCTCCTGTTCAAAAGCCTCTGCAGAAGTGTTCTTGTCTTTCACATAGTGTTTGATTTCCAAAGAGCAACCATTTCTCACCATTTCATTTGGTTTGAAAACATTGTTGAGATCGAAACCTACCATGGGACGACTCTGGGTTGGAGGGGCAAGACCAAGTTCAAGTTCCATTATCATTGAATAAGAATCAAACGACTTTGTACTAATATTAAATGAGCTAAAAAGCAAGAAATGGGATTAAAAGTGAATGGATTTTAGTTTGACAATGTCCTATTTATACACGTATGTGTGTGTGTGTGTGAGAGAGAGAGAGAGAGACTGAGAGAGTGGAAAAGGATCATTGTCGGGTTCGAAAGAAATGAAATTAGGGACACCATTGAAGTTGGGTCGGCCAAAAGTGTGGCAGTGATAATGACAGGTGAGAATAGTTTGTGCCACCCTGCTAAGACCGGTTTAGCCTCTGTTCTCCCAAGTCTGTAACCTTCTTGTCTCTCTGTCCCCACGTCACCTAACTCATCTCTCTCTCTCTCTCTCTCTGATTGTGGAATCAGAATATCGAAGGAAGATAACAGACTATAACTTCCTTGTTCAGTTGGAGTATTAGTCTTGTATGGAACTGATACGAAATCAAATAAACTAATTAATGAAGTAATGATATAGATGCTGCTTGTAGATGCCATTGTATATTATAAGTAACCTGTGATTTTGGAATCAGAATAATATCGAAGATAACAGACTAATTAACTTCCTTATTCAGTTCATGTATCACCCACAACGTAAACAGATCATCTTCTTGCTCATGAACTGAAAATCGAATAAACTATTGAATTAATGATATAGATGCTGCTTGTAGGTAACACTGTATGTAACCTGTTTTACATTTGTTTATGCACCATTTTTTTGTTTAGTTAGTTGGATCAGTAGTTGTGATGGCACGCTGGCAATCCTGAAGGTTATAGTTAATTAGATTAATAAATTATGTTAGTAAATTAAAATTTAATAGTATTACTCTTTAATATAAGGACTTTGTGACCCTTGAATTAGTAGTGAGACCAACATTGAATGATGTTTACTATTCTCTCCGTTCCTAAATATCTGTCGTTTTACACAATTTTTTTTGTTTCATAATATCTGTCGTTTAATAAAACTAAAGCATAATTAATATTTTTTCTTTTAAATTTACCCTTAACTTTTCAATACATTAGATTAGGTGGAGGTTAAATGTCTTTTATATTCCTTTCATGCCCAATACGTATTGAATAAAGGTATTTTAATCTTGTGTAATTATTTTTTTACTTATATTAGAACTATTTAATAGCTTCATTAATCCCTGTACAAAAACCTTAAATGACAGATATTTAGGAACATATGAAATATCAATTCAATATTCATAGAGCAATACTATTGAGACATAATTTATTGACATAATTTGAAGACATAATGAGTTGTTATCAATGATATGATATTGAATTCAGTAATACTACAATGGGACCCACCATTAAATACATTTCACTATCATTTCATTGGTGACAACTCATTATGTCCATAAATTATGTCCCTATAGCATTAGTGATATTGATAATGTATATATTTGATAACTTTTAAAATAGAGAGTGAAATATTTTACACAATTTTAATGGGTTCTTTATTCTAATAGAAGAAAAATAGTCATATAGTCAATAACATTTAGTAAATATATATATATATATATAAAGAGAGAGAGAGAGAGAGAGAGTTGCGTTTTCCAAATGTAGAGACCCAAACAATCAAACTCTAATATACTTTCTGATGAGCCAGAAATTAACTGGGCTAGGCCCAATAAATCAAGAAGACCCAAGTCAATAAAATGCGATCCGAGCCCAAAAAGTCAAAAGAGACCAAGACACCAACGCCCAAGGAGGTCACTCCAAGGGGCCTACATCATCGAAATCCGAAAAGAGTCCAAGTTATCAAGGAGGTGTCTGGACATCAAGGAGGAGGCTAAGCCCAAGGGACACCCTCAAGGGGTCACCCAAGAGGGCGCCGCCCAAGAGGGATACCCAAGGGGTGTCGCCCTGTTGGTCCTCCTGCCTCTCGTTCGTCATTTTCTCTTTGCCACTCTAACTCAAGTCCAAGCTCAGGATCAAATCCAACCAAGCTTAGAGTCTTCCTTCGACGAAATAGGAACACGAGGGAGAAAATATCGGGATACGCACGGAGATCAAATCCTACCATAACTATACTTACCAAAGTGATAGAAACCCCCTCCCTCACGTCACCGCCTCACCATCCCTATATAATGTAAGTCCTCTCTACGTAAAGGACACACCTTGGATGACCTTAAGATCTTGGCATTGATGACCTTGAGACTCTCATATCCCTACACACACTATACCTTCCTACACGCATTGTGCTCTCTCTCTCTCTCTCCCTCTCTCTCTCCAAAACATTGTAATACTTTCGGAGTTACTCTTCCGCTGACATTATTCATCAATAAAGATCTTCGATCACCGCTACCATTTCTGAGAGTGGAGTAGATCACCCAGACCGAACCACTATAATTCTCTGTGTTGGCTCCTTATTTACAGCTTTACCATTAACTGTTTGATTATTGCTCATTGATTGCCTCTGTTCATATTCTTGACTGTTGATCTTGCACAATACCGATTTGTGCATCATCACTTTCTATTTTAACTAGTCTAAATAGAAACCTTATTGAAGCTTATTTTTTGTAATTGATTCTCTAAAATAGAGAGTTGAGTAGAAATAAAGGATTTATTGAAGATACTCTTAGGTCCCCGAATTAACTTATGGAGTTAAGTGCAAATGTTATTATTGATAGTTTTTACTTCATAATGGTCTTGAACCCATAATCTTTCTCCATTGAGTTATATAAGTGATATGCATTATTGTTAATTCACTGGTGATTATTATCTTTACTACAAACTTTAGAGCTTTTGGTTTATTGTGCAGAAATTGAATGTTCAATGCTCATGTGTATAGTAATATTTTAGAGAAATAAGTGTTAAGTAATCTTGTCTACAATTTGAAAATTAAAAGTAGATTTTGGAACTCAAACCCACACAATAATATATTTTCCCTTATGCCCATAATTTCAAAATCAATGTTTATCCTCTAATGACTAAATATGAATTGGAGTGTCTCCTATCAATAAAGCAATTATGTCTAATTTGCTAAAGGTCGAATCAAACATGTTGGTGACCTGATCATGTTGCTTTGAATTCTAATAGAAGCTTTAATTTTTACAAAGTGACACAAAATCTACTTTTTCTAATAAAGATAATATTTCCCGTGTGAATTAGCAAAGTGGTAAAGTTGTTTATTGTGATTTGAGCATAAACTAATCGAGCCATAGAATTAATCTTTTTATGTGTCGAGTAAAATGTATAAATTTGACTATCTCTAAACTCTATTCATACGAAAATCTCGTGCAACTAGATGTAGTTTTTAGAAAATATTAGTACCACACCCGGGTGGTCTTACTGTTTTTGGAATTGCCATAACTAAAATGCTTAAGACATTTTTGTTAAACACATAACCATTAAGAATGATTATGCCTCATGTCATCATGGAGTCTTGTTTAAATATTGATCTTAGCCATGTTCCTGATTTTCTTAATATGACAAGAACGATTCTTTTTGTCGGATTTTATTTCAACATCTTCATATCAATAATAGTATGGAAAAGGGGTAGGGTGAGTTGGGATTTGGGGTCGGTTTGGGGTGGAGGGGAGGGGAATGACCCAGACAAAGCAAGGACAAAGGGTTCGTGACTTATCAATTCAACACGAAGTTATTGCAATTGAGTTTAACTATAATAAGTGCGGGTTATTATTGAGTTATCTCATTGTAAATGACTAACATATTTCAGGAACTTAACACAACAAGAATATGACTATACACAGCTATAAACAGGTTGGATAACTTTTGACACAATGAGTCAGAGACACGAGATGGATCGTCAAACACGACTTATCCCAACCGAAACAACCACCTTTAAACCTAAATTATTTTAATCCAATTATTTGAATTTGATTAATCAGATATAAATGCAATTTTTTATCCCAACCCATTATATGATACTTCACAAATTTGAATTTGAATTTATTAAAATCCGATCCAATTATAATGTGATGTGAATTGTATGTCAAAATATATGTTGACATATTACGTGATTTAGACATTATTTAATAAAATTGAATTCAAATTCAAATGCAATTTTTTAAAATCAACTTTAAGTAATAAATCATATCAGATATCTTATTTTGTGAAATAGGAATCTGTCAAATATTCGGGTCAGATTTTATTATTAAATTTGGATTCAAATTAGTACAAATTCGATATGTTGACAGGTTTGGTACATGTTTTTTATTTGTTTGATTCTACTTCGAATGCGACTTCGAAGTGTAGAGCTGTATTAATTAATTACTCAATATTCCTACTGGCAGTAGTTGATCATCGATCTGCATGTGGTACGACATAGTTGTCCTGTAACTTCCATGGTTGTAGAAACTTTATACATTCATTCTCAAACCATCTTTTAAGTGTATAGCACGATACGTTAATAGTTGATGTAACGACTATTAACCACGTTGTTGGACTTTAAAATCGCAAGTTTTAACACCGTCGTCCCCTAACTTCGATGGCTGTAGAAACTTAATCCAATTCATTCTAACTTCCATGGCTGTAGAAACTTAATCCAATTCATTCTCCAACCATCTTTTAAGTGCACAACATTATGAGATTAGTGGTTGGCCAAATGGCCTAAGTTTCTACTGTTAGACCTTAAATTCACGGGTTCAAATCTTGTCATCGTCCTCCCTTGTAATAGTGTCTGACCAATAAAAAAAAAAAGTGCATAGCACAATGGGTTGCATCAATCTCAAGTGTGGCGGAAGTGGAACCCAATTAGGCCCATATACATATATGCACAATGTGCTGTGTCTTTAGCTGGAACTCAGAATTCCAACCTTTGTACAGCTCGGTGTGACTGCAGGGTCAAACGACTGGGATGAAGGATACAAATGCCATGACTCCATTCCATGCTATATCCTTAGGTGAAGTAAATATAAAACATTTAAAGTAGTGTGAACTTGGTCCAAAGTAGATAATATCGAACAATGATGTGGATCAATAATATTATAGTGCGACGACCTCAATGACCTTCATGGT